TTACATTAACTGTGTGTCAGCTGTGGATCCAGCCGGAGTGACTGTAACTGACCAGAACATCCTGAATGCAGCTGCTTTGGCACACCCTCGCCCCCTCCTGCTCCTCCTCCCTCTCTCCCACCGACCCCTACCTTCCCCTGGCCCCCCCCTCCCGGCAGTAGAGAGGAAAGTTACATTAACTGCGTGTACAATAGAAGAAAATTACATTAACTGCATGTCGGCTGTGGATCCAGCCGCAGTTAATCAATTACTCTGACAACTTGAAGCAGCTGCCGGAGCACTTCCGGGTTGCAGTTGGTGCCAGACCATCAGGCGTACCGGACATTTGTCTGTTTGAGAATTTCCCCAAAAAATGTTACTTGAGGTGCCCAAGGTCACCCAGGATAAAATCTACAATGTGTCTCTCCTAGTCTGTCTCAAATTCATTAGAGATTGTGCTACCTCCATGTCATAACTTTTATGTTGGAATTTTGCTAAAGCTAAATTGTTTCAAAAAGTACTAAGGAACTGTATTGACTGCAGGTGGTCCGATCCACATTTACATCTCGTCTGAAGGCAGCACTTTCAGCAACAGATTGCTTCTGACACCATGTTGGGAAATAAGTTCAATGCTGCCTGGTGCTTTGCTGAATAGGGATGGACTTACGCATGTGTTCAAGAATAAGCACCTGCTTTGCTGAACTGGAGCTATAGACACAATGGTAAAAGAAAATATAATCAGTGGAGATAGATCAGCATGTCAGTGAGTTTATTACGGCACTGTGGATTGTTGCTCTTGCTGTAATGACAACAAACATCCATCAGGTGGCACAAGCATGTAAATCTTGATTCCACTGAGCATTCTCTTCCATTCCTGCAATTCTTAATATAGGTTGGATCTCCCTCATCTGGCACTCTTGGACAGTCCTGAACCAGGGAGTTTGCCAGCCTGCGAGAGATCAATGTTAGCCCTTCTGCTGCCAGCCTCCAGGCTCTGCTCCTGGCTGTAGGGCTCTACTCCCAGTCCTGGCCCCCCAGCTCCACTCTCAGCAGCCCGGCTCTGGCCACCAGGCTCTGCTGCCAGCCCCCGGCCACCAAGCTCCACTACTGGTCCACCAACACCGGACCCTGCTCCCGTCCGCCAGATACTTGGCTCTAGCCTGCTGCCTCAGTTGCCAGGCTCTAGGCCTCAGCCCCTACGGTTGAGCTCCTACCCACCCTGGAGCACTAGTTTTTCCCCAGGAGTGCTCCAACCCCGGAGCACACACAGGGTCCCAGACCATGCCAGAGTCCACAGATGTTGCCAGACCAGAGACTCCTGGGGTAGAGAGGTTCATGCCATACACTAACGCTACGTCTACATTGGTAAGATTTTGCGCAAATATTCTTTAACGCAAGAGTTTTTGCGTTAGAGTATTTGCACAAGACTAGTTTTTCCCCAGGAGTGCTCCAACCCCGGAGCACACACAGGGTCCCAGACCATGCCAGAGTCCACAGATGTTGCCAGACCAGAGACTCCTGGGGTAGAGAGGTTCATGCCATACACTAACGCTACGTCTACATTGGTAAGATTTTGCGCAAATATTCTTTAACGCAAGAGTTTTTGCGTTAGAGTATTTGCACAAGAGAGCATCTACACTGGCATGTGCTTTTGCGCAAGAGCATCCGTGCCAGTGTAGACGCTCTCTTGCACAAGAAAGCTCCGATGGCCATTTTAACCATCGGGCTTTCTTGCGCAAGAAATTCATGTTGCCTGTCTACGCAGGCCTCTTGCGCAAGAACAGTTGTGCATGAGGGCTTATTCCTGAGTGGGAGCATCATAGTTCTTGCGCAAGAACCACTGATTTCATACATTAGAACGTCAGTGTTCTTGCGCAAGAACTCCCTGCTGGTGTAGACCGGCAGCAATGTAGACACAGCCTAAGAGTATATCTACACAGCAGCGTTATTTTGGAATAACAAATGTTATTCTGAAATAATAAAGAGCACATCTACACTACAAGCCTTTATTTTGAAATAATACCAAACTGAAGGACTTCTTTCGCCAACTCATGGTAACCCTCATTTTACAAGGAGTAAGGGAAGTCAAAGAAAGAATGTTCTACCTTTGACTTCCTACTGTGTAGACAACGCCAAAAGCTGAAATAAGCTATTTTGACTTAAGTTACTCAATTAACGTAGCTGAAGTTACATAGCTTATTCCAACTTTAGCCCTGCTGTGTAGATGTACGCTAAGGTACATTTTTCAATATTTGCTTTTATTGCTGCTGGCTCAGGTGCTGCATTTTGTATGTTGTCCTGCCTGGACATGTGTTTGAGGTATTATCAGCACAGAATTGAGCAGTGCCAGGTACAGAACTGTGTACAAGTTGTACAACACTTTAGAAAGCTCTTTAAAAAAAAGCTAGTGTACAAAAGTATACATAAAGCAAAAAATGTTAAGATTGTCCCTATATAATAGTGTAGTAATAATAATACTAAAACTCTTTTAATTGCATAGTGGTAGTACTAAAATCTCCAATTGGGCTCCCTTTGTGCCAGCTATTATACAAAAACAAGAAGACACAATCCTTGCTTGAAGATCGTGATTGAAGAGATTAAAATGTAATTGTCTGAAAAAACATAAGCATCTGAGAGCCAGGAAATTCATTGTTTGTTACATTTGAAATACAAAAATGCAAAGCAATGTTACAGTACCCCACACATACAGCTGTCTATCTAGGTGTGCACATAGTCCTCATCACTATAGACTTTGAGTACCTCCCACTCTTAGCTTTAGCTTCATTTCCTAACTTCATGGAAATTAATTTTATCTAAAAGCAGGTATGAAAGTACAGCTAAATTATGGAGCAGATCTTTAGCATGTGTGAGTTGGCATACATTTCCACGGTTTTTAGCTTATGTCAATGGAATTTTGATGATTTAGTGAAGGGTCTGCAGTACCATGTTAAAATCTGAATCCTGGATTAGGCCCAGCATCTAAGGATATTAATTCCATGCACTGCAGACTTCCATTTGTGAACATCTTAAATCATGCTCAATATGGTTTACTTAGCAGGATATATTTAGCTTCACAATAAGCATTTGATAGGCGTCAGATGTCTACATCTGCAGGGTGCTAAATCATGGTGAAAAATAAAAATGTAACATGGCTGTGGCATCTCCAAGGTTTGATATTAGAGGAGTTTATTAGGGAGGGGTGTTTTATAAGTCATGGGTACACATGCAGTACACTGGTACTGTCAAAAATTTTTACCTTGAGGGACAAATGCTATTAGAAAAAGGGAAAGGAATTGCAGTCAAGAGCTAGGAGTTGGCTCTATGTCTTGCACTGCTCCTATGGGTAGCAGATATTGTAGCTGGGGGAGGTTGTGCTTCCCTGCACAGCCTTGTGTAGCCCTATCTGTACTCTGCCCCCAGACCAGGCCCCTTCGTGTGCTGTTCTTAGCCCTCTGCCCAGATTGACCTACCTCCTGCAGAGACTCAGGGCAGCTGGTGCTGGAACCACACTGCCTGCCCAGGGTTGTGGGGCTGGCTGCTCAGAGCACCACAGCTGGGGGCACTGCTACCTGGCACTCTAGGGCTGGCCATCTGATGCACTGGGGATTAGGGATATTAAATCCCATTTAATTAATTAACCGATTAACCACATAAACGGGGCAGGCAGTTCACTCTAAGCACGGTGCCCCCTTGCAGGGCAGGGGGTGAGAGACTTCCCACCCTCCCAGGCCAATTGACCCAAACAGCTGGTAGTTCTCTCTGAAGGGGAAGGGGTCAAAGACTTCACTGCTCCCCTCATCCCCAGGCCAATCAGTGTCCGTAGGCAGGGAAGCAAGGAAGTGTCTTGGCTCTGCCCCTCCCAGGGTGGCCCAGGGCCACTTCAGAAATTTCTGAAGGTTAGGTTAACTGCTGTCCCTGCAAGCTCAGAGCTCTGTCAAACCAAATTAGTTCTATCATGCTCACACTGACATTAAATTTACAGATTTGCACAGGTATCAGTGGGCATAAACTCCAGTGTACACCAGGACATCAATCCTACTTGGGGCCTCTGGGCCCTAATGTAATAATAAATTAACGTGGTTGCATAACAACAAAAGATAATAGATGAGGGCATAGTTTGGCTCATAGACAAATATTACTAAAGAACACGATGTGCAAGATGGATAGAATTTTACTGCCACAGGACAGAGGGCTGCCAGTTAAGGAGAGTTTGTAAATGTGCAAGGGAATCTCAGTCAATACACAGAGAAAACTAGAACACTAACGTCACGGCCTTTTTTTAGTTGTTCGGCCATGCGGGAGGGTTGTGGTGCGAGGGGTTTGCACTGAGCTATCGAGAAGGCCGGAGCGAGCTCTTGCAGGTTGGCTGTGGCGCAGGGAGGGCGCAGAAGAATATAGCGAACGGCCTGTGCTGACGGGAAACAGACCAGGGGGGAGCAAATGGATCCGGCCCGCAGCCGCCCTGCCACTCCCCCGCCCCCAGGCCAATCCGGGTCTGCGGGCAGGTCTCCTAGCCCCGCCCCTTCAGAGATGTGTGACGTGCCCCCTTTTAACAATCCTCCCCAGGCACGAGGCAGCTAAATCCCCCCGAGGAGCGGGGCCTCAGGGCCGGGGAAGGAGCCCAGGCCAGGGCCACGTGCAGGTGCAAAGCTCTGGGGCAGGATTCCTGCGCATGCGCCTTCGAGCAGCTTCATTGCGAAACACAGTAGTGCTTGCGCGTCAGCATGCTAGGGGCACGCGGCCGGAAGTCTCGCCGGCGGCACTATCATCTCGCGGGCAGCTGGGACTGTGATCGAGGGGGAAGTTCCGGTTCCGCTGACACTGGTTCCCTCCCTCAGCAACTTCCTGCTTAGCGCCGCCTCCGCAATCTGCTTCCGGGGCATTGTCGGCTCATTGCGAAACACAGTAGTGCTTGCGCGTCAGCATGCTAGGGGCACGCGGCCGGAAGTCTCGCCGGCGGCACTATCATCTCGCGGGCAGCTGGGACTGTGATCGAGGGGGAAGTTCCGGTTCCGCTGACACTGGTTCCCTCCCTCAGCAACTTCCTGCTTAGCGCCGCCTCCGCAATCTGCTTCCGGGGCATTGTCGGCTCGCGCTGGTCTTTGGCCGGCTCCGCGGCGGCCGGGAGCAGCGGGGATCATGGTGAGTGACGCGCCGCCCGGCGGGGCCCTGCCCCCGCTCTCCAGCCCCCTCCGGCAGGCCTCGGCCCCGCCCCGCCGCCCCCGC